AGCAGGAATCAATTAGTAAAGCGGGTAAAAAGAGAAAAAAATGAGTCAAATGAGTCAAAGTGAAACTTTACAACAATATGTTAAACACTTTCTACGGTTTCACAATCAAAACATAACCATTTACATACAAAATTAGGCATTAGAGTTGCCTGTTTTTGTTTCTAGTTAGATTTTCAACATTCACAACAAAAAGCCATCTTCCTGTGAATGCACTGTAAAGCAGCTTTTTATATAACTTTTTTTAGGGCAAAACTATATTTTTCTGACTGGCCAGTTAAAGAGGATCAACTCTACTTCTGGTGACTCAGGTGTTGTTATATTTGTATTTATCTTTACCAACAGTAATAAAATGGAAAATGAGCTCAGTTGTAGAAAACCTTATTGATGAGAATCTGCTTAATGAATGTTCATGAGAAAATTTAAAATAGTACAGCAAACATAATTTCTAAGCAATAAGTCTTTATTGCATCTCAGTTTAGATTCAGTACCTCCCTCACCATTTATGGACTGGGCTGATTATAAAGTCCTCCAAACTGAACATAGGTTTTTCAGACATCTTACTGTAGGATTGTAATATGTTTTATAAGCTCTGTTATGGAGTTGTTATGATGTAATGCTAAAAATAAAACCTATAACAACATATTTTCCAAGTAAAAGAAAAAGGTCAGACCTATTGAATAAAATCTATTAACATTTATTTATGCCCACTCCAAAGCAAGGAGAGGTTTGACAAAAGTCAATAAATAAATGTCACACTCCATGCACCCTAAAACAAACAGCATGAATACACGAATACGGACATGAAAGACTCAGCATTAATGAAAACACTGAGTTGTGTAATGCACCACTGTCAAGCCTTTTCTCATTTCTTTCTATTTCAGCAGATATAAAACTATGTTTAAAAGAGGTACTAGGGAGTAGAGTACAGGGGAAATGTTGCACCTAAAACCATGACAATTTCATTTCACTAAATGAGGTTTCACACTGGCAATGAAACTATCATGTACTGTAAAATTCCAATCTGGGTTTTAGGTTCACACAATTTCTGTGACTGCAATACAGTTTGTAATTTCTTTTGCTGAGAAATGATGTAACTGTTCTTTAAATTCAATTTCACTACTCCCTGCAACTTTCTAATGGCATGCTTGGGAAGCATCTTACAGAAGATATGGCCTCTGCATTAAAGTGGATACATCCTAGTTCTATTTCAAGCACTGAAACCATTTTAAATGGAAGTGAAAAGACTAACCGTTTTAGCCGGAGCAGCGAGATTTTCCATTTCCTCATGGGTCACCCAAACATTGCCTGAGGGCTATGGACAAGGCCCACAGGGAGACAGGTGGGATCCACATTAGGTAAGCAGTGGTAAAGAAGAAAGGCAGCACCACTGTAAGTTAACAGCGTATAGCATCACCATCAGCACAACCACGTTCTTGCCTCTACCGAGCTGCAACTAGAGACAACTTTAGACAACGTGTTTTGTGTCTTTCGTTAGAGGATTCTGAACAGACGTGAACTGATGGATGAAATCTGGCAAAGCACCGTCACAAAGGAAAGAACAAGAATTAAAGCTGCATTTCAGACATAAGTGGCAAATATCATCTTTAACTTGTAGCTCTGTCTGGAGGTAAGCTTCAGGTCTCAAGGATTTTCCAGCCTAAATATTCTGCGTGCACCACATGCTCATATTGTAATCTAAATAATGATGACTTCCCTCAAGTTTCTGTAGATCAAAAATGTCACAAGCATTCACTTGTAAAACTATTTTTCCTCATCCTATTGTTTTCAGTCGGATTATTACTAGGACAATGAGATGAGGCAGGAAGGGGGTCTGGAAGTCTGCTGTGCAAATACGGTGAAATTTGCTGTTTTAAGAACTGAAGTAAATTAACTCCTTTACTGAGAAACAGGGGAGACAGAAAGACTTGAGACTCAGAAATGCACATTCCAGGGCAGGGCACTTTTGTGCTGCCAGTTAAGAAGAACTAACAAAACAAGGCAAAATTATTCCTAGTATCTCTAGCTTGCAAGTACTGTTTTCTCATTTCATGAGAGAAATGCTCTTATGCTTTGAAATATGCTTTTATGAATTTTGTTTAGTTATTCAGCATCATGTTGAGTCTATACTGCTTCACTTAGGTGAAATCCATTATGATTCATAGTATTGCCATAGTTGTGGAATATACAACCATTCTGAGGGGAGAAAATAATAGATGGGGACCTATAATATTTAAAGAACCTTAGCAATGTGAAGATAAAAGGCCAGTCAGTAGGAACATTGGAGTGCTGTTGCCAAGTTGCTCAAATAGCTCAGTGGTTCTGGTACCCCTCAAAGGTATCTCATTTCCACCAAAAGATTCTCCATGAATTCCATGAAGATGAGAGATCACAAAATACCATCATTATTATTATTATTGTTATTGTTCTTATTATTGTTACTATTATTGTTACCTTAGTACTAGAGGTCTGGGCTGCACTACTTGAGTAGCAGTCTCTGTCCTTCACTTCTGTGCCACGTTTCCCATCTGATCTGATTATTTTTCTTGGTTTATTTATTTTCTTACAGTCTCGGTTGCCTCTTTCATAAACATCACCATCAGCCTCTCAGCATGAAACTCCCCTTTATATCTTGGTATTTTCTCCTCATCAGTTTGGCCTGGTTTTCTTCATTTTCTACTAAAAGATGCTTTTAGCACATACATTCTTACTTGCTCCTAATGCACTTTCTTGCTCTTTTTATATATTCCCCTTTCCTTTCAGACCTGTATCTCTGAGTTTCTTCTTTACTTCCTTCCTTCCCATCTGCTGCCACTCTCCCCCTTCTCTCCATTCCTCACCAAGTGCACATGCTCCAGTCCCCCCTTCCAGAATCTCCCTTCACATCTCCAATCCCTGCCTCTCTTAAATGCATGAAGAACCTAAAGGCAGGTAACTCAGATTAGATAACATTTGGAAGGATGCAAAAAAGGTGAATGGGAACAAGATTCAAAAGAGCTGTGTTCCTACATAACCTCTCCCCTCTCCTGCCTTACCTGCCCCCCACCTCCCCCCCAAAAAAAGATAAACAAACAAACAAAAAAAGAGAAATACAGTCTCATTTCTTTGGGAGAGATGATTTGGAAGAAGAGAAAGGCAAAAATACAAGCAAAATTACAAGTAACATGCTCAATACTGATGATTTAGATAACATCACAGTTAAGCAAAAGCATGACTTAAAAAAAAATATCTGCTAAAGGAAAAATATAAGTGACCAACAATCAGGCGAGCAACGAAGAGGCCCTTCTAAGTCTCTGTAGGACAAATCCCACTGATTGTGAAGTGTGTGTTACCATAGAGCCACTCTCATGCTACAAAAGTCTTTCTGCAGACTCCTGCAGGGCGAAGTAGGGAAGAAAAGGTTAGCTGAACAGGACTCACTGTTCTGGATGTTGGAGGTGCTGATGGACTTGTCAGTGATACCATCTCCTGGATTGCTAATCGGAGCTTTAAGCGATGAAGAGGATTGCTGATTCCAATTTCTCTTTGAATCTCAGTATCTGATAAAGCAGACATAATAGCTCCACTCTTCACATTGGCACGGCATGCAGCAACGTACCATGCTGGCATGCCCAGCCAGAGCTGTTGAGAAAAAGGACACATTCATCCAGAGCATTGCTTCATTTCTTAAATCAAATTAATCATCAAGGCACCAATCAATCTGAATAAGCATGGTAATACACAGAAATGAGTATGACTATCATAGTCTTTAATAAAACAAAATTGTTTCAGAACTTTGAAATTGCCATGGCTTCACATGAACTCTTTTTGTTGCTTGTACTGTAACCAGAACTTTTTGTTGCTTTTATTGTAACCAAAGGGATGCTTTGGATTATTTTTAGAGCTATATGCCTCCATCACCTGGGCTACTCCTTTCCCAGGTCTTTAATGAGGAAGCAGTGGCCCAATTTGGTGTTACTGCCCATTTTATAAACTTAGCATATACGGAAAACTATCTAGGAAGAATTAATTTTTTCACTTCTGTACTAAAATGGCTTTCTCTCTCTTTCTGTGTTAGTCCCTACTCACAGGGCACAACCTTACACTTCTTAGATTTTTTTTCATGGTAGACATAAACCAAGCAGAGTGTAGATAACCAACCTAGTGAGGACTGAGCTTACTGTAAATTTGTTAAGAGTCTGAGACGGTATCATACCCTAACTAGAAATACTGGTTAGAAATTGCAGGAGGATGTAAGCACAGCTACACCACCTGTGAATTTAGAAGATATGTACTTGCCACTTTCATGCTTTTCCTCTCCTTATGTTAGTCTTGCTGGCCTAGGTAGCAACAGACCCTTACTTCACCACTTACTCTTTTCTTGTAAAAGGTATTCTCTACTTCTAGCAGTCCTTCCTGGGACCTACTGAGTAGGAATTCTTATAAGTTTTCTCAGCTTTCTTATTTTGTGCTGCCTCATTAATATGATTGTTGGTGTCTACAGATCTTTGCTTTCAAAGGAGATAATTCAAAAGCATGGATACATACATGTGGGAAGTTTTTGTCACAGTGTGAAATACATTATGCTACAGAGAAAAGCTTGAGAAGAACATAAGCAGTGAATGCCATAATCACCGAGATTTGGGGAATAACACAATGGAAAACAAACACACACCTCACTAAGTGCTTAACTCCAGAAGACTGCTTGACTCTGTGAAACCTGAGAGAAGAAGATACTTCTCTCCGCAAAGTAGACCTTCCCTGCCCTCTCTCCTCACCCTTTTCCAGATCACTGTCACACATGGGTTTGGTGCTGTGAATTACATTTTCAGTACAGAGCTCTCCCCATGGGGATGAAGCAGCATAACCTACACCGAAAGGTTTCCACTGGGCAGCAAAATGGCTAATATTCTAGATTTTGTGACACTGAGTGTAAAAGTGCATAAATCATCATCCAGTACTTAACCTTCAATGTATCTGAGTGTACATACTTCTGTATACATAAAAGGTATATACAATTTTATACAGCTACCTAATTTTGTTAACTATAGATCTGTTGTACTTCACTGTATAATATTCCTTCAAATATAAATTGTCAAAAGCACTTTTCAAATGCACCTACTAGTTACTATTGGCTTGTAGTAGCATCTTATTCTATTCTATTGTTTCTGAAATAGAAACCTGTCCATCAGCATACAATGCACTGACACTGTGATAGTAGCCATTATATTCCATGTTTTCAGATTATTTTTTTTAATTAATTCTGGGTAGATGGCAATTAAGGACTATTTGTGTTTGAATTTCAGTGGGACAGAGCATCTGTGACTGCAAGTGAAAGTGACTGTGATAGTGACTGGCTATCACAGAAACATGGTGGAATGAATCACACAACTGCAGTGCTGCCATTGATGGGCATAAGCTTTTCAGAACGGATAGGCAAGGAAGGAAAGGTGGTGGGCTGGCCATGTATGTTAGGGAATGCTATGACTGCCTAGAGATTAAAAATGGTGACAACAGGGTTGAGTGCCTATGGGTGAGAATCAAGGGGAAGGCCAACAAGTCAGATATCATAGTGGGAGTTTGCTATAGACCACTTAACCAGGATGAAGAGATAGGCAAAATATTCTATAGGCAGCTGTGAGAAGCCTTGTGATAGCTTCCCCTTGTACTTGTAGGGGACTTCAACTTCCTGGATATCTGCTGGAAATAAAACACAGCAGAGAGGGAACAGTCCTGGAGGTTCCTGGAGTGTGTGGAAGATAACTTCCTGACACAGCTGGTGACGGAACCAACAAGGGAAGGTGCCCTGCTGGACCTGCTGCTCGGAAACAGAGAAGGTCTTGTGGGGGATATGATGGCTGGAGGCTGTCTTGGGCATAGTGATCATGAAATGATAGAGTTTTCAGTCCTTGGAGAAGCAAGGAGGGGGCCTAGCAGAACTGCCACTTTGGACTTCTGGAGGGCAGACTTTGGGCTGTTTAGGGACTTGGTTGGCAGAGTTCCTTGGGAGGCAGTTCTGACAGGCAAAGGAAGGTTGGACACTCTTCAAGAAGGAACTCTTAAAGACACAGGAACAGGCCATCCCTGTGTGTCGGAAAACGAGCTGGCAGGGAAAAAGACCAGCCTGGCTGAACAGAGAGCTCTGGCTGGAGCTCAGGAAAAAGAAAAGAGTTTATGATCTTTGGAAGAAGGGGCAGGCATCTCAGAAGGAGTACAGGACTACCGTGAGGCTGTGCAGGGAGAAAATTAGAAGAGCTAAAGCGCAGCTGGAACTTAATCTAGCTGTTAAAGACAGCAGTACTCTGAGTACCCAAGTCCCCTGAGCGGGAAGACAGGGATGGAAA